CTGATATATCGTATGTTATTCTTCTTTACATTATCTAGCAGCTATTGAATTAATTTCTCCTGGTTCCTTCCTTTTTTTTTTTTGCTCCAAATGCCTTCAGGGCAGGTTTGGCTGGCTTGAGTTATGGGGATCGAACCACAGCATCCTGAGCCTGACTGCTTTGTTGAAGCAGCCACTTAAAGAACTGAGCTAAGGAGCAGGCCCGCCTGGTTCCTTCCTATTTTTAAGAAATCTTTTTGTGATCACTAACCACATCCTGTCTTCTTTCAGTGGAAATTTTAATTTCCTAGATATCTGTTTAAATCTGTTTTCTCTATTTGCTTTAGAGTCACTGACCGTGCTTTCATTATGGTCACCATCTCAGAGATTATTTCTGGGACCAGGGAGATGGCTCATTGGAATAAGCATTTGCCTGGCAAGCACAGGGGCCTGAGTTCAATGCCTGGTTCTGCCAGAAAAAAAAAAAAAGAGAGAGAGAGAAATTATCTAATTTGATGCTTTTCTAGACCTTCATTCACCTGCTTTGTGCTTTCCTCTCTCTCTCTTTCTTTCAAAATGCATTTTGCACAGGGTCTGTGGGGTCTCACTACACAGATCGGACTCGTAGTGACCCTCCTGTTTTCAGCCTCCCAAATGCTGGGATTACAAAGGTGTGCCACCGTGACCAGTTTCAGTTGCCATCTCAGCATTCTCTGGGGCAGGGGCAGTAAAGTGCCTAACTAGTCACTTTAATCTGCTGAGCTATCTGGCCAGCCTTTATCTGCTTTGTTACTTCTACTGTTGTCACATCAGAGAGTCAGGGTCACTAGGTTTCAAAGTTTTCTACATCATTGCTCTCTGGGTTTGCCTTTGGTGAGCTAGATGTCTAGGACTGCATTTTGCTTAAGTGTCCTGTCCTATCTTACCTTGCCCTTCCTTTTCTTTTGGAGAGAGAGTTTCACTATGTAGTTCAGGCTTGCCTTGATCTCACTTTGTAGCTCAAGCTGGCCTCAAACTCAGGAATCATCCTGCCTCAGCCTCCTAAATGCTGGGATTACAGCAGTATGCTACCACACCTGGCCTTCTCTCTTTTTCTTTTTCTTTTTCTGTTTGTTTTGTTTACTTCCTGGGCTGATGCTTATAAATTGCTTATGGCAGGTAGCTTTATTGCTAGTATTTAAAACCTTTAGGGGGCTGGTGAGATGGCTCAGTGGTCTAAAGCACCTACTTAGAACAAGCTCAGCAAAGCATAGGGACCACGGTTCAATCCACCAGCACCACATGCCAGCCAGCCCTGCCCCCTGGTGGGCTGAGCTG